GGGAAGGTTAAATAAAACAAGTTGTAATTAAATTAAATTAGCTGATAGTAGAAACTTTTCGCAAATAAACTGTGAATTAACAGTGAACAGTGAACACATATAATTTGAGAGAGAATTGATTCGTTCACCGGACACATACATTATACTGTCCAGAGATATTATGGGAGGTTCAAGCTTATTAAAAGATTCTTTGAACTTTTGAAAAGTAGCAAAAATTGAGAAAAATTGATAATCTAGGAGGGGATAGGGAGTTGGTTCAAACATATAAGTAATAAAACATGTTTTATTTTGCAGAATTATACAATATGCATATGTTATCGTCTTCGACTATAAGGGATGATGGGGCGATGACGTGATTATAATTATATATGATAAAGTTCCAGGTGATGACTAATTGAAGGCGTGTAAGTGTGAGGATGAAGAATCAGCCTTGATGCATGAGCTGGAAGGGTGAACGAGGTAAAAATATGTACATGGTACAATTTCATAGAAACTGAGAACAAAAATCCTTTACATCAGTACAGACCGATATGCTTGCCTTCAATTACAAACCTTGCTTTAAAAATGATATTGTTATTCAAGTTAAAAGCCTTCGAAGTTTTTTAATAAACTATCGCATGATATTGTATATCAATCAAATTGCAACTCTTAAGTTAACTTGTTGTTTAATTGTATTACTGAGTCATAAATGAACACTTGTAGTACGTACCTATATGGCGGTTGATCTGCAACTTGTCCCATGCTGATGAACCTGATAATTAAAATATTTGTTGTAAATATCCATAATATTCACACTAGATTCTAGACGGCAAAGTTCGAATTGCAGTCGGAACTGCAGAGTGGAGACGTACATTTTGTTAATTTACTAAAGTAACTGGTAAAAACACTTCTATGGAAATAAAACCAGGTTATATAATAAATTTATAGTCTATTAAACTACATCGATAATAGTATATTATATGGATAACAATAATAATAATATCAGTTTCGGCTGCTCAGGTCAAAATTCGAAAACCTATCATTTTATGCAGCCTAGATTTAATGATTCAAATAAGAAGCGCAGTGTTTCTAAAGTAAGACCGTAGACTTCTACAATAGCTGGATCAGCTATGGCTTAAGGAAAAACAATATATGCTCTTCGCATAAAAAAAACACAATTAAAACGAATGCAAAATTTGTGATTCTATTTCTAGGATGACATATCAAAAATATTTTTAAATAGGACTCAAGCAATCAGGCGTAATCTAAACTATAGTTTATTGATACTTCAACTTGGCTTTGCTTTATATTAAAATCTCAGCATTTTGATCCAGCGAAAAATTCTATTTGTACCTCGACTCATATGTCATACGAAACAGTACACTAGAAAATACGGCTCAACAATTTTAACTTCTGAAGGCGGCTCTGTATCATTCTACATTCTGACAACAGTCCTTCTATGCTATGTCAACAATTTAAAAACCTATTCATTCAACTTATAGGATTTCAAGGTATTACACAAGTGGCAATGATGAATCATGGATGATAATTGATTATTGACGAAAACTCGACAAGCAAGTTTGAAACCCAAAGTAAGAAATCGGGATCAAATATGATTGACACGTAACGCGCGCGTATAACATGTGCTTATCCAATGCGAAACTAAAAGTGGTGAAAATGGAAGAATCGACTGTAGAGTGATTTAGCGCGACCGGAAAAAGCAAACATTTGATTTTTGTTTCGGCGACTGAATCGTCGATGGGCCGACAAATATTTTTGTTGAGTAGTGTTGAATACTCATATCTACATGATTATTGATTTAATTTCGGAATTGTACATAAATATCTTTGACCAAGTTTAATTGTCAACGAGAATGCACCCCAGCACTTGGCGCCCGCGGTGGCTTTGATGTTAGTTGTATCACGTGGTGACCCCCACGGTCTTCGACGATACAGGGGGAGCCGCGCACTTCGTGCGCGGCGGGTCATACAACGTATGACAAGATGTTAGCGGCTACAAGTTAGGCATACAGCTGACGATTTACCTGGGGACGCCAGACTATTGTGTTCATAAACATAGCCTGGCGAAATTGAACCCTCTAAAACGCGCAAATAGGCGCGTTTAGGTGATTTTACAATCAAATAATCAAATTTTACAATTTAACTCAGCGCGCAGCTTTTGTAGCGCATACGTCACTTCTTTGTTGGTAGTTGGCGTGCACTTGATCTTTTGCCCGGCTGTAATTGGTTCTGAATGATCACGTGAATGCAAGTCACGTGCGCTTTAACATCCAATGAGCATTCGCACTTTTTTCAGGGCGATGGAGGTCGTAATTCACTCAGCCCGAATAGAGATTAGGCGGAATGACAGGCTGAGCGCGGCCCAGTAACTGACGATAAGATGCCGCGCGCGCCTAGCGTAGGGCTTTTCGTTTTTGATTTTACAAAGCTACTTTTAATGATTATTAATGAAATTATCGGATATTTATAATTCAATATGTATTGTAGCGCGATGCACTACTGGGTCGCGCGCGCGCATCCAATAATGCTTCTCGTATGCAGATCGGCGAGATGCGAAGGATTGACATCGTGAATCAAAACTAAAAATTGTATTTTACTTTTTTTAAAAATTGATTTTACTTTTACTTATTTCTGTAGGAATAAACCTGTAAATGAAATACTTACCTGAGGACCCCAGGCTTTAATGTTGGTAAGATTAGGCGGAATGAGAGATTAGCCGGAATGACAGGCGAGCGCGGCCCAGTAAATGAAATACTTGTTGTAGAAATAAATAAAACCCATATAATATAATACTCATATTTATTATTTCCCAAATTGTCAATCAGAAAAAAAGAACTTTCATTTATTATTATCATTATCAATAACTGGAGCTAATCATTGTGAAAGACAATACAGTCATAAACTACTTGTTGCTCTATTCAGCTATCCTTGGAGCAGCTACCCTCAAATTCTCGCTTATGCTGCCTCAGGTTATATCCAGCCTTATTTTAAGGCTATTTATTACTGGGCCGCGCTCAGCCTGTCATTCCGCCGAATCTCTATCTATGGACATAATAGCCTGAGGTCCCCAGGTAAGGCTATTTTTCACATAGTCATACGCGTACTGTGTACTGCGTGACGCGCTTGTTTCACAAGTAGGATAGACCGCCTCCGGCGGTCGCGCGCTTGCTCTAACCAGAGCCCTCTCGCTTGCAGTAGCGCTACTGCAAGCGAGAGCGCTCTGGTTAGAGCAAAGGATATTTAAGGCTAGGCTTCAAAAATCTTCGCATCCAATAATGCTTCTCATTAGATCGGCGCGGCGAGATGAGCTACTGGTATGATCCTCGCCTTGCTGGGCCGCGCTCAGCCTGTCATTCCACCTAATCTATATTTATGAACATGATAGCCTGAGGTCCCCATACCAGGTAAGGCCTCGCCGAGCTGCGAAGAATTAACATCGTCAATTAAGAATCTTCCAAAATCTCTTTTTATATTATGATGATTTTCCGTTTATCAAAGCTTTCTTTGGGAATAGGAGTTTGGGTACTTCAATTGTGTCTTGTGCCAATCTCAATGACCCTGTAAAATGGTCAGGATGATGATTAATCACGCTACACTCGACGGTCACGTGACTTTTTTAACTCGTTCTCTTAACGGGTGATACACGTAAAATTGTTGACCATTGTTAATGATCTGGCCCGGCGCGCGCTATTTCGTAGCACTTGCCATCGGGCATTTCGAGAAGAAAGCGGCGCGCGCTACTTCGAAGAAATTTATAGTAACATCTGCCAAGTAAAATATTTGTTCCAATTATTATATCAGGACTGCGTCGACGAGTCCAACTCGGCGCGCGTCCTAGTAGGTTGTAAACCTGCAAGATTGCAGTAGCGCGCCATATGAAAAAATGGCGTCACGTAGTACACGAAAACTCGTGTCTATGTGAACTTTGTGAAGGGCAATCCATTAACAATGAAAATAATAATATTTAAACAGATATTGGACTAGAGTATCATATTACGTTGCATCAGTCGTCACCTGACCATATACTTCATACTTACGCGTACTACGCGACGCACTTGTTTCGGCGGGTGCGCGCTGCTGCAAGCATTCAGCGTGCACGAGAGTTCTAGTTAGGATGATGATTAATCACTCTACACTCGACTGTCACGTGACTTTTTCAACCCCTTCTCTAGCTGGTCCTGAACGACTATTCGAAACCCTAACCCTCTAATCTGATCCCAACCCTAACCCTAACCCAATCCTTAACAAAAGCATATGCTGAAACCCTAACCCTAACTAGATATTAGACTAACTTCCTTATACGGTCATATCACGTGATCGAAACAGTTTTTCGACAAAATCTCGTTAGGGGAGCATTTTGGCCCTATGTCATGGGGGGGGGGGGGGGGGGGGGGGGGGGGGATTCGGAATCAGCGTCCGAAAATACATCGATTGAAGTTGGTTTCAACTGTCGGGGGCCCTTTTAGAACAATCTCGAAGATCGACTGTAGAGTGATTTAGCACGCTCGTTCTAGTTATGCAATTAAACTTCTAGCAAAATTGTGATGATTTTAATTTTTACCGCTAGTACAATTTTGTAGGTTTGAAACCTACCGAGACGCGCGCAGAGTTGGACCCTATGTCATGGGATATGTTCTGGTATTACCATAGAAAAATACTTTGAAATTGTATGACGCTACTTTCATGTTGCAATTATTAAATGTACTCAGGGAACTTTCGTAAAAAATTAAAGGTCATTGGTGAGTGATTTAATGGTGGCGGAGGGAGGGTTCTCTACACCATGACCATACAATATACATTAAAAAAAGGCAAAAGTGCAGTGTAAAATAGCCTAAAAAAGCATTAAAGAGTGTACTTTTTTACAACACCATACCAAAAAAGACAAAAGTGTAGTGTAAAAAAGTGTATTGAACACTTTATGCATTATGTTGGTATCTTAGATTCGTCTACTTATTAGATGGGTTGTATGAATTTTACAATTTTACAAGTAAAACACCTTGTTATATACGCAATTATTATTATCTGTAATACTTAATCTCAAAGTGTAATACATAGCACACGACAGTCTTCACCTTGGACACAACACACACACTGTCTTTTGAAGAATGCCCTAAACATCATTGTAGTTTATAAATCCGCGATTAATGATCAATGACAGGCAAGTATTGTAAGCCCAATTTTTAAATTCCCATAAAAGATATTTATCGAAACTGGTAAAATGCTAATATCTCCGATCATGTAAAATGTGTACTATGTTACGTAAACTTTTTCCAATTACGAGATTTGGATGCTAACATCAAGGATGATATCTATAACTAATTTAAGTTACGGTTTCCGTAAATCACGGGCTATTCTATGTTTTATCAAAGCAAATTTCTGTTAGTTAAGAAATGTTTAATTGAAAGTAATGGTGGAAAATATATATCCTGTCTTGCCATACGATGCAATGATCGTTTGCAAACAAAAGAACTAGATCGTATTGCCCCTGACTCCGAGAGTCACGATAAGACAAAGTAAACCGCAAAAATTTAACATCTCCGGGGTAACTATAAAATTTTACGATAAAAATCTACAAAGCTATTTCGAAACTGTATTCGTTAGTTGAGATTTGTGAGTTACACTCATAAACTGTGTTGTGGAATTTGGGGTCACAGAGCATCAAACTGATCGAGCCAACCAAAGTAACTCTTCATTTGACAGTCATTGACAAACTTAGTGAAGAAGTTCAGATACTGAGTGCAACTCTGAATTTAGTGATATAATTATAATGCTGAGGTATTAATATGAATGAAATGCTCCTGATTAAAACTAAAATTACATAACTTTGTTGAACCGGAGGAAAATCTATTATATTAGCAACTTCAATTACTTACTAATCAACAAATGTGTGAAATTGTGCGTTCTCCTAAATGATAATACGATTAAAATGATAAAGCAACTCAGAGAGACCCATTTAATGAGTCCACCTAAAATCATCGCATGAAAACCAAACTTTTATATTTTAGAAGCTATATATCAGCCAAAATTACACCGTAAGAACTTAGACCGTAAGAACTTATACATGCTCAAATTCAAACAATCCTTACATACAATTGTTAATTCACAAACGCGCTTCGATCTGCAAACATATAAAACCTAATAAACCACCCGTCGTATCATATAATTATAAAACGTGCTGACGACACAATTACAAGTATTATCACAAGGCGAATTAAACCGGCCAAGCTCATCTATTTCATACATCTCATTATATAACACACTGGGCTACACCACGAGCACACAACTCACAAATTGACACGGTAATAAAATGACGGCTGCACGTGCTGGTGCGCGCCTGCACGTGTTGATGCGCGCCTGCACGTGTTGATGGCGCAGAGGTCGCATCCTGCAGCCCCTACACAAGATTAAGAAGATAGAAATCTACACGTTAATGAATTAAAAACATCATATAATGCCAATGTATTGAACATCATTCAATATAATATATATCCGGTTATATGTACAATATATTTGGAGCGGAGGAACGGAACACTATCATAGCGGATAATATCATTGGAGAGGATTTGCGGATCTCCCGCGCTTTATCACGTGACTCCTTCAGGCTGAGAGTTCAGGGGTATGGAGTCAGTGACAGGGTGTTTATCTGGCAGGTAGAGTGGCACCTTGGCCCCCTTGTCGGAGGGAGGGTGGTACGAGTTGTTCCCTGTTTGTTGGGCAGGAGGATGAGGCACGTTGTTGTTGTTATTGTTGTTATTGTTGTTATTGTTAGAGTCGTTGTTTGACGGCGGTGGAGCCTGCTCTACGACCTTAGACTTGGCACACATCGCACGGTGGGATGAGCGCTGTTCTGCGTTCTTCTGCTGCTTTGCCAACTTGTCACTGATTGTCCCTATCTCTGTGTTATGAAATATTAGGTTCCTATGCTGAGATTTTTGAGGACTGCGTCGTGGACTAGAGTTCATTTTCGACTTGCTCCTACTTTTATCTGAGCTATGTTCGGGCTTTTTAATGAATTTTTCCACCCACCCTGGATTTTTCATTAAAACAGTGCTAGGTCGGTTCCTAGCCAACACAGCATCATTAATAACAACAGGTTTATTGTCTTGTCCCAGTTCTACCGGCTCATCCATCCTAAAGTACAGTGGTCCGGTAGTCCCATTAACATACCCTTTCATCGGCCCCATCACGACATGTCCCTGAACAGGCGTGTAGCCCTGGTAATAGGCTGCATAATTCGCATAGTTTGGTTGCAAGGTATTATGTGGCGTGGTATGCGAGGCTCTCAAATCGTTACCACCGTCCTCTTTCGCAGAACTTTTCTTTGATCTAGGCTTGCTAGGGGGTTTAACAGGCTCTGCATCTGGGAGGACCGTCTCCAGAGGTAGCCGTCCAGATGAAGCAGTGGTCATGAGACTTTGTAAAGAAGACAGTTGGTTGTCTTTACCAGTCGGACTGCTCAAGCTTGGTTTCTTTTTATGTACATTAGGTCCAGATCCAGGTCCAGATCCAGGTCCAGGTCCAGGTCCAGGTCCAGGTCCAGGTCCAGGTACAAGTCCAGGTCCAGGTCCAGGTCCAGGTCCAGGTACAAGTACAAGTCCAGGTCCAGGTCCAGGTCCATCCTTGTCATTCTTCTCCTTTGGCGGCTGTTTCTTTCGCTTCTTTTCGGGTTTTGGTGAGCCCGCAGGAGCAGGCGAGGGAGGCGGGAACGACTGATAATACTGGAACTGCTGAGGATAAGGATATTGTCCTGGAGTCATACCTTGACTCTGAGCAGCGATCATCATCTGACGCTGTCTTTGTTGGGTCAGAGTGTTCCTCAAATGGAACTCATTCAATTCAGGACCTGTCCCCTCCCCACTATTAGCCACAGCTCCGTCACCACTCTTGGGAGGTAATTCCTTAGTAACAGGACCGTTGTTTGCAGGACTGGGCTCCCGTTCTGGTTGAGGGTTCGAGGGTGGTCTTTGAGGTGTCATTCCTCCAGGAACAGCCCCAGGACCCCCTGGCCCTCCCGGCGGCATGAACATCTGCAGATAATACTGTTGGTTACCAGGATGGCCCGGATACATAGCCTGCTGAGCGTACTGGTAGTAGTTTGGTTGTCCAGGTTGCATTTGTAACCGGGGATTTGCCATGGCAGGATGTTGTGGTGGCATCATCACCGCTGTAAACTCCTGCTGTTGAGAGACAGGGGTCTTGGGTGGCGTTCGTTTAGAATTAGATCCGTGGTTCTTCTTAGAAGTGCTCTTGACAGCAGGTTTCGGTTCACTGATCTCAGGCGTAGGAGAACTGGTATCTTTCTTTGGTTCTGCAAGTTTTGATTTCAGCAGAGCCATAGTTGCAGGACTGGCAGCTGAGTTTGGCGAGCCGCCACCACTGTCTTGTGAAGAATAAGGGTTCGTCGGAATCTGGGGTGGGGGTGTTTCCCTAGCCTTCTCCTGTTTCGTTGGAGTAGCAACAACCACCGATGGTGCCTTTTTCTTTTTCTGTTTCTTCTTCTTAGGGGCAGGGGGAGGGTCCTTTTTAGGTTCAGGAGTAGGAACAGGCGCGGGGCTTGCTGTGGGGTGCATGAACCGCTGCTGTTGATAATAATGAGCCATCATCTCCGGATTAATTATCGGAGTGGTAGGACGACTGCTATCTGATCCCGAGGTCGAGTGTTGGCGAGCCAAGTATTTCTGATACTCGTGCTGTTTGTTGTCATGGTAACCGTATATAGGCTCCCCTTCCTTGTTATAACCGTGGAGGAAGGTAGCAGGCGCGTTGTAGTTGTAAGGGTAGTGAAAGTATCCGGCAGGTGCTCCTCCCTGTCCTGGGAACTTCATGTACGGTGACATCCGCGCTTGCATCTCCTGAAATAGTTTACCTGTTACTATGAGTCTTAAAGGTACAAATACAACACGCGTAGTTTAAAACGGTGTATCTTCATCCGCAAACGTTACCAAGAGGGTGAGTGCAACAACTTACATTCCAAGCTCAAGGAAAAACTTACCCGAACTTCATGACAGTAGAAATAAAGTTTCAGTAAAGGCAAGCTGTCAACAGTGGTAGCTAAACAAGAGATTTAATATAAAGATCTAACCTCCTCCTTAGTTCTGATTCGCTTATTAGAGGGGTGTGCACTGGGTTCCAAAAACCGGACAGACAGCGGAATGTCAGGCTCGTCAGGTAGCAGACTGCTCTCCAATATGGTGTCAGGTTGCATGGGCAACATATCCATATCCAACTCTGAAACCTATCCAGACAATGAGTTAGAGTTTGTCAGAGAGAGAGATAGACGGTGCAACTTAACTACCGGCCATTCAGGTGTACGTCATATTAATGTAATTTGGCGAGACTTGTCGTGGTTATCATGGGTTACGGTGGTTGCTTTTTTGGGGACATTACACTAAATTACACGATAAGGAATAATACTGACTGGATATCCATAAAATTATCATATTTTATGATATTCAATTTATTGATTATATCTACAGTATGGATAATTATACCTCTGGCGGCGGAGGATGGTGGTTATCCGGGATAGGGGATGGAATCTTAGATTTGGTTACTATCGGCGATGAAGGAGCGGAGTTGAGACACGAGTCCAAGGAGGGGGGTTCTACGTCGTCATCTGCCTCACTTTCACTACAGCTAGACTCCATTTCAATGATATCAGTAGATTCAGTGACTCCAAATCTCTGCGAGATGGTTTAATAGTTAACCTGACTGTCTCCAAGGCCATTAAATAAACATGATTTTAAATGCTAAGGCGGTAAATAAAATGTTCGAAAAACTCAAAAATTAACATTAAGAAAAGAGATACAGAAGATTGCATACCTCTAGCAACGAGTGAAGAGTACAAGGTTTGCCGGTTGACGACACTGTTGGAGTCGGGCAAGAGTCAATACTCTGGGGCATGACGGTGTTGCACTTTGAGAAGAGAAGTTGTTCACCGTCATGCAAGATGTGGTTGACGCAGTACTTGGTAAAGGGCAGTGCACGCTTGTTACACACGCAGCACGAATACCGTGCAGCGCGGTTAGCTAACGAACACGGACACTGTTCCTTACTACTCGAACTCTCGTTACCTGTCAGGGTGAAATGACTGTGAGGCACTATGAAACACTAATTACGGCACCGCTAGCCCTGTGCACACTTCCAGAGTAACAAATATAATACACATGCTATGTAGCACATCAAATGCCTTGTAATAAATCCTGGATCAGGCACACTCTAACAAAGCATAATTACGAACCATTGAGAAGTTGCGTTGTTTTAGTTACGCTGCTCCTTGCTGCCTCTGTTATTGCCCGAGTGTTTATTGGTAAATGGCTTTGCGTTCGCCTGAGATGGACCCAGTAATTTTACCGTTGCACGAAATAATTAATAAAAAGTCTTGCAACTTGAACCATCACTATTTAATGTAAGAAATATTAACTTGTAAAACCGAAGAGAAAGTTCTAGACGTTAATTTGAGCATGAGCCATCAACAGACAATACGTACCGGTAAGCGTTGACTTGATACACGAGGTGGTCTAGTCTTTTATGCAAATGCTCCTCCATTTTAGACAAGTAAACACTTCTGCTCCTTATATCGCTCATTCTGCGGAAAGATGGTGTTAGTAATTTAAACACATGGCATGGTGTCATGAGTATTGTGGGTTCAGAGCTTTAGTGGGTGTACATTTAATAGCTCACGCCTCGCGAGTTTTATACATTATAATTATCATATTAGGGGGCCCCATTTTACAGCTGTTGGGAGACTTATTTTCTATTTGATCATCAATTTTTTGAGAGTCAACTGCCAGATCTTAGATAAGGGCATGAAATGCAGCGCTAAAATGCTATTTCTGAGGAAGAACAGACCAATTTCCAATTTCATCACAGCCATTTTAATCAGCTAATTGAACCTTCACAAAAACAATCACATAAATTCACTGTCAAACTCTGATATCATATGATCTAGTGCACAATATCAAAGGATGCGGCAGCACTAACACTAAGAGGAGAAAACTTACTCTTTCTGTTGCAAGGGAACACCATCGTCTAGGGATATGTTCTCGTGGGGTGTGTCGTATTGGTTGCACTCGTTTTCCATACCTGAAAATATATTTAACATTTAGTGTCTAGTCTCAGGGATTTGAGTTATTCTTCATCGATTGAACAGAAATGCACCATAACAGTGGCATTACAATTGAGAAAATAAGAGGTTGGGCCTAAAATTTAAGAAATTAAAATATTTGAAGCTATTTTTACAACTTCCAGTTTTACTCTGCTATTATACACTAAGTTAACTTATAATCCTCTATCATCGGCACTATGCACTTCAAAGTACAGCTAAATAACTGTACGGAGGGAGTTGAAGAATTTCTGAATACGTCACAATTAAGGAAATAAGATTAGCTAAGAATGGTATAATAGATGTATCGAATAATTCTCCGCACATGCAAAGTCCCAGACTTTGTTTGTAGCCACCATTTTTTGAAACTTGCCCTAAAATATTTCCAGGAAAAGATATCATAATTTTGCCTTCCCACACTTTTTGAGCAGTTACCTGAAGGATATACCGGATTTTTCTCCAGTCGTTCCCGCTTCAAAACCCATTTCAAATGCTCCAGAGGACGTTTCTTGATGTTGGGTTTAAACTTCAGCCGCTGTCTCTCTTGGGTCATGATTCGGAAGACATGTAGAGCATAAGGCGGCGTCTTGTTGACGAGGTCCTTATGGGCGGGAGCTTCTGTCCTCCGCCGCTTTCGGGTGGCCTTTACTTGCAAGTGGGTCGTACAGAGCCTGAAAGTTTTGGTAGTTAGGGCATGTGACATTTTGGCCCTTAGATACATTTCGAGCGTTCTGGAACCGGTTAGAAAGGCGACGGCGTCACTTATTGAACGTATTACGTAATTAATTTGTTAGCGAAATCCAAGTCATCTAAAGCAAATTAGCGCGCGCGGCGAATGACGAGCAAAGAAAGTGCTATAAACAAACTAGTCTACTTATAACGCGCGAAAAAAATTTTTGCGAAAATTTGGAAAGTAAACAGAGTTCAAACGACGTTCACGCCCAAATTTTTTGGTTCTTGAGGAATTCGGCATGACTGAGAGGAACTCTAGCTAGACATTCCAACAAGCAAAATAAAACTGAGGAATAACCACTTAAACAGACACCAACAACTTTGCCGCCAGCGGAGGTCTTTTAAAACCTTGCCCAAATGAGAATAGTGCTAAAATAATTGTCAGAATTTGTCCAAATTTTGTTCATCTTAAAATGATAGTTTCACAAATTTATGTTTGGAAACATCCAGTTAAGGATCGAGAATGCTGTTGAAACAAAGATAATATTCGAACAGACGACGACCACAATATCGCTAACGTCTTGATATTATCGAATTGAAATTTAGTTGGAAAATATCACTGATACTCCAATAATCCCTATATTTTGGTTAAATAACCGAACTTCATACGACTTTCACATTTTAAAACCAAGATACACAACAACCTAGTTTGAAAAAGCATCAGAATACTATCAGATACATTCCATACCGATACTCAAGGCCCTCAAGTTTTGGCTATAAAATTCTAGTTGATACCGCATTTTGATGAGGCGTTTAGGTATTTATGGCCCGATATGAACATTGCTTCGATCAATCTATTTAAATCAAGAACTTAAAATAAAATATGACAAAACTTCATTTGACTCAATTAACAAATTTCCCCCTGCAGTTATAGACGCACTTCACGCATTCCGGAAGCTTCTTATGCCAAGAAAATATTTCCATGTGCTCCCATGACGTAACTAGTTCGATTTTAGAACTTCAAGTAAGTGTAACCAAACTTAAGGGGGCTTCAGTTACCAGTGGCATTGTTAGTTTTAAGAAAATAGCGCCCCACACCCAAAATAAAATCAGGCTCAGCCTGATTTTCCCGCCGGAATTATAATTTTAAAGAAAATTAGGTTAAATATTAGATAAATAAATGGGACGATTTGGTCTGATCTAGTAAAATTTACATTAAGTTTCAATGGTGGGCAGCAATAAATAAAACTTAAGATTTTTTAACGGGCCAATTTCATCAGAGACCAAAAAACCACTATATTTATACACTTACGTTCGTTGCTCTGTGCCGGCGATCCTATTCTTGCATTGAGTTCCACCTCGGAAATAACGGCACTGATGAGAGTTGACGTGCTTGGAGCAGAACTTGGAGCCATTGACACAGGGCGTAGTGCACTTGATCTTCTCATACTGACACACATTTGGAGGTGTGGCTAACCGCTCTGAAACAATAATAATGTTAACAGAGTCGACAATAAAAAGGGAATTGAACAGTAGCGCTGTAACCTGTTGTGTCTAATGTCTAGAGAAACTGCTTCAATACTTTTTGCATGAAATTAATTGGGTGTAGAAAAAGTTGAGTTCAAGGGAACAAGACGAGAGCTATATATACACTAGATTAAGAAGAAAAAGCCGTAAGGGGTAGAAATTATCCCAAAATTGCTGATTTTGCAGAAGTTTACGAGAAATCATAGACCATACACAATAAAAGTCTGCCCAGTGTAGACTTGAGAATCACTACGTTACCCTTTATCTCTAATCCTCTGTTCTAGAGTTATTAGAAAAGAGAGCATCTACGGACTTCTAGAACTTGTTCATCGGGTGTAACCAGATTGAGAAGTTGCGAGATTACAAATGGACCAGACTGCTAAAATTTGAATAAATCACCCTTCACTTTTCTGGCCCAAAATAGAATAATTTTGATGCCAGCGAAAATATACGTGCATAATAAAGATTAAGTCATTTCATTGCGAAACTCTACGTTACTACTCTTATATATTCCAAATAAAGTAGTATTATATAGTGCGACAAATGGGAAGCATTATAGGGGGTCTAGAAACTTTAACTCAGGTCTTGGTACATGGTACTGCAATTTTCTTAAAATTTCCCTGAAAACTTTCCCTGTTTCCTTGGGTGACTCAGAGCACTTAATTGTTGAGTATATCATTTCATTTACGCGGGAGCCGAGGCGTCAGGCGACATCATTTGAATTGATGTTAAACATACATTTTTATCTGCATAAAATTCAAACTTTTTTAATCAGAGAGCTATAAATTTTCCAAGATAAACGACAGCGTCTTTGCAGAGAATTGCAGAATATTTAATTAATGAGCATGCGGATATTTTTGTATAAAACCCCGGTAACCCTTAGCCCGCTAAATATCCCGCAAAAGCAAAAGCTTCCCCGAATCCTATGCGAATTAACGAAAGAGTCATTCCCAAGATTTAAGCACATACAAAGCAAGTAGTTCAGGACAAGTATCCGTTACAGCACCACAGAAATAAGAGGACATCATCACAGAAGCAACCAATTGTAATAAGGAGCAGAGTTTTTTGTAGTTCAAGTACACGGAAATTAAGGAAAAGGAATGTTGAAGATCATGACGATAGACACATTCCGAGAACATGAGTGGTATTGTACAAATGTGTACTATAAGTACATAGAACCGGCAATATGCCAGTACATACCAGTGCATACCAGTACACACACCAGTACATACGAGTACACACACACACACGGGATTAGACTAGACGGGGAACCAGAGACTAACTAACAAAACAGACTCACAACTCACAAAGAAGGAACCAGATATAACACGAGCAGACTGGTCGGTAAATAAACATGCATTCCTCGCACATTCCACAACCAGTACGTGTATTTACTTCCGGTACAGTTAAATGGGGGTGATTACGGTTCAGGTTAATTATTCAGGTTAATTATTGTTAATCCTCCAAATTATAACAGATTGGTAAACTTCAGATACAGCCGGCGCCGGGATATATCACGATTGTTTTTTTGGGAATGTTGCTTTCTGTTTGTAGAAACACCACAATTGATGTGAAACTAAGAAATAAATGTGTTATAATATGATTTATTTAGACATATGTAACAAAATTGAATACGTACATTGCATATTGAAAGAGCCACAAGTCCCACAATATAGAATAGAACATACAGGGCCAGAAAAGGAAGCCATTAAGTAGCGAAAATTAACAGTTTAGTTAACAGTTTAGTTAACGTTTTAGTAAACAGTTTAGAAATCAGTTTAATTAACGTTTTAGTTAACAGTTTAGTTAACGTTTTAGTAAACAGTTTAGTTAACGTTTTAGTTAACAGTTTAGTTAACGTTTTAGTTAACAGTTTAGTAAACGTTTTAGTTAACAGTTTAGTAAACAGTTTAGTAAACAGTTTAGTAAACAGTTTAGTAAACAGTTTAGTAAACAGTTTAGTAAACAGTTTAGTTAACAGTTTAGTAAACAGTTTAGTTAACAGTTTAGTTAACGTCTAGTTAACAGTTTAGTAAACAGTTTAGTTAACAGTTTAGTAAACAGTTTAGTTAACAGTTTAGTTAACGTCTAGTTAACAGTTTATTAAACGTTTTAGTTAACAGTTAAGTAAACAGTTTAGTAAACAGTTTAGTTAACGCCTAGTTAACAGTTTAGTAAACGTTATAGTTAACAGTTTAGTTAACAGATTAGTTTACAGTTTAGTTAACAGTTTAGTTAACAGTTTAGTTAACAGTTTAGTTAACAGTTCAGTAAACAGTTTAGTTAACAGTTTAGTAAACAGTTTAGTTAACAGTTTAGTTAACAGTTTACACTTACAGCTTACTTAAATAACACAGTTCAGATGAATATTGAATCTTATTTCCGACGCACCGTGGATATCAAAATATATAGATTTGATCGCAGCCAAAATTGGAGATATCGGTCATGAATTATGACATAACTTGTCCCGTGTCCCGGTCCGCCTGACTGATATTTAGAGAAATCTACCACGACTTTTTATTGTGCTGTGTGCATTGATCCTATTATACGGCATTGGCGTGATTTAATCAATAAATATCTGACAATAGGGACACCGGACTCTAATATTACATTAGAACAATAGCGAATTGCCGAATACGATTAATATCTTATTTATCATCTAATGTTAACTTATTCATTACACTATTTAAATATAATAAATACGATTAATGATTTATTCAATACACTATTTTGAATTTTCTTCTGTGAGATGTCTAAATCTCAATAAATTAGACTTGATGGTGATCATCAAGACATGAAAACGATGAATCCAGAGACGACCCGCTTGTAATTCGACTAGTTTCGGCCATCCACAAAGTGACAAAGGAATATCACATCAATAACTGTTCAATTTGTAGTGTTGTAATTAGTTTAAAACTGGGGTTTAATACCATCATTTGTAGAGTTCATACTCAACGTCAGCTAACGCAACAGTTGTCAGAATCTTTAAAATTTATTAGTTTATTACAAATACCATTTCTTACAGTAATAATAAAGTTCTGTTTGTGGGTAACGATGGGGAATCGGTTATAAGGATTCAAAGTTTCACTATACAAGGAATGAAAAAAAAAGACATTAAAAACATACCCAAAAAAAGACATATTTAAGCAATTCAATCAAGACTTATTATGGAAATATTAAAATTACGCACTTTTATTTCAGTTCGGAATTTATGGAAAACTATTAGGAGGATCATTAAAAGCTAGTTATATTAGCAAAATTCAAAGACAATAACAATATTAAGTAAAAATGGGAGTTTTATGACAAATTATATTAGCATTCATTGACATTACCATTCAAGTAATCCAGAGCAGATGGAAATATCAAGTGAGGTCCCCGAAAGTGATCATTTACAAGTATTTTAGTATTTACTCTATTTAGTGTATTTACTCTATTTAGTGTATTTACTCTATTTAGTGTGAATCAAGCCCCAGATTTAGCGGGCTTATGTATTTTCCTTGACAAGGCCGGCAAATTAGAATTTAACTGTAGAGATATTAGCCATCAGATAACTTCAATTACCTAATTAGGTAATTAGATAAAATAAACTTGATTTTGGCGACTCAATTAACTAAAAGAGTTCCGTTTTTTACGAAAATAGAACCCAAAATATATTCATTTTCATCGCAAAAATGAACAAATAACGATACATTATATACAGAATAATATGATAGTCAATTTATATGATTAAATGAGGCCTTTAAATGCTGTGAATGATGATGAAACACAATTCTGACTTTAAGTTGCGCACACCTTGCAATAGTATACTGGATAAATTAAAAAGTTGTAAACAAATTACCCTACCCATGATGGTATTTACTATGGTTTCGACTTTCGGCATTACAATTATTGCAATAAATGAGTACAACTATACTACAAAGTAAGTATATTTCATCCATAATAATAATCCGAGGAAATGATTTACTCGTTATATGAGTAAATAAACAGTCAATGCTAGACTCATATCGTGAGATTAAAATTAACCTCAGCGACACAAGCCACACAACCTGTTCTGATACATGCGGTGTCAATTATATGTTATCTCAAAACAAGGCATTATGTAATCTCGAACGATACCGAACAGATTCTTAGAATCAGGGATGCTTATTTAATTTAATTTATTTAATCTTGTTGTATATTTTCAAGATATTTCTAGAAGTTTTGGAATCGAAAAAAATAGAAACAATCTAGACCATTTAAAAATGTATCTTTTATACTCTGCCGAAAATAGAAGGCAAAGTTGCGAGAAGCGTCCTGAAGATTCTGAAATGGAAGCCAATATGTTGTTGTAAAATTGATAGTACTTTAATACGGCAGTGTGCACAACATGATGCGTGACAACACGAAATAGTTACTAAGTAAATAATGTTAGATCACTTTTGGCAAGCTCGTGTAATTAAATAGATCAAAGGTTAATAAAACAAAAGGTCACGTTTATGGCCAATATAAGATGATATTTTGTATCAAAACGTTAGCTACAATTATAATCTTAAGAACGATAGTTCAGTGCTAGGATTGAGGCCGAGGCCTCCGGAGGGGCCGGGAAGATACTAACTAAGATAATAAAACATGAATTTCACAACAAGATGTGCAATGTTTAGTTAGAAAGCTATGAGGCTCGAAAGGGGGGTTTCCAATGGTGAACAAGAATTGCGCCCGTTGTTTCGTTTTGGCGGACGCTAGATTTCCATTTCACTATAACTATTAATATAAGCTCTAATCAGCTCACCTTATAATAATCATATTGAAACATCAGTAGACTACGCGTGCCACATTCAAGTTGGGCTTATTACAAAATACTATACATTACTAGTATACATTAAAATACGCTAGTGCCGCGCATTCATTGACCACATACTAGCTATACACCACATCTCCGCAAGCAATCCCCGTGCGCGTGCGCGCGGCAAGTTGACATGGAAACGAACGGAAGCAAGTAAGGAACACGACATATATTTGACCCACCTACCGCTATTTCCAAAATCCACGTTTTTCTGCAAAAACGTCCATTCGTAACCTTTCACTATTGCCTTTTTTCAAAAGGGTGAAAAGGAAAAAATGGTGAATGACTTTTATGGTAAATTGAGTATCCAGATTGTAAAATTTCACCATTTTTCAACATTGGAAACCCGGACCCCCCGCTCGAAACAGATCGGTTTGAACTATATAAACTTTGAACTGAACGGAACTGAGATATCCATAGTTATTGTAACGAAGCCTTTAGTCGGATGTTACTGTAAGCTTGGTTGGTTACCATAAGTTACGTTGAAATACGTTTAGAAATCATATCTACAATTTCAGGAATAATCAGTCCCTCTTTATTTGGTATCATTACATATTTCTAATACTTTAGATTATTAAATCATAAACACAATTCGGTTGGGATATGATTAATTAATTAATGTACATTAATCTAGAGAAGTCACTTTAAAAGTGAATATTTTTCACTTTGGAATAGTTGTAATGAAAGTAGGTTCTAGAGCACTAACTAATCCTGGCAGTATGGTATTAATATAAGTTACCAAACTTAAAGAGTTCAGTTGTTAAGATGTTTAGTGTGTTCAATAGATTATCGATATATTCAAGATTCATGGTCACATATTTAGTCACGTTCAACCATCGCTTTCAGGTGTTTAGTAAGTAAATACTAGTAGTAGTTACTAGTTTAGTAACTAAATAGTAAGTAACTAAATATTAGTACTGAAAGTCTGGTGGTAATTAAACATCAATTTAAATTTAAGAAGTTCAGGATGGAGGTCCTCAAAGATAAAATAACCACATTTCGATTGAGAAAGTTATATTTTGTCTATTTTCACGAACTGAGATATTTAAATTTGAGTATGGTCAACAGGTTTCAGAAGCAAATTCGCTGGAACCGCGAACTGGTCTCACTTAGATGAGCAATAGAATGATTTGCATTTTTCCGCAAGAATTCGAATGTTTCTTGCCCGGCTGCATATTGTCAGCATGAAAACAAAGTTTTCCGCACAAAAAACTATTTTGAATCTTTGACTTAGGATATATTCAGAGGTAGCTACTAACAGTGTGTCTATGTGGCCGATATTGAGTCTTTTGTTGCATGCACAGTTAGGTGGCCAGTTTTTCTTTGCTCGTTATTGATTACAAATTATGAAATGTTTTTTAAATGTGCCCCTCCCAGTTGATTGAGTAGTGCCGCAAAACTACCGCATAGGTTATCAAAATTTATAGCTCTACATAATCGTGTACTTCGTCACTGGTCGCACCACACACTAGCTCTCCTCACT